TCTGAATTTATTTCTACCTAAATATTTGTTTCTAAATAAACATTTTAAAGCTTTTATTTAACTCAAGTACTTATATGAAGGAGAGATTTTAGACTTTTGAATTGAATAATTTCCAATGTATGGAGAAAAATAATGCCACATTATAAGAGAATGTAATTTTTACTTTTATTATTCTGAATTGGCTATATTTTGCATATCTGTGAACTAGAAGGGCCAGATATGGTACTAAAATCTCCTGAAATGATATTAAATTCTTACATTTGAATTCCAATAAATATTTCATTTTTATGTTACTGCATTTAAAAAGTCATAAATATAATTTGTAATTTTCTCTCATCTAGACTAACACTGATTGAAATGCAGAAGGGAACCTGTGCGGTCTATGGCTCAAACTTTAAAGGCTACACAGAAAACTGTTCCACTCCATACACGTACATTTGTATGCGGAGGATTGTGTAAGGACTTAATCAACCATCTCAACAAAAGCCAGAAAATAGAAAGGACTATACCAGCAGAAGCATGGCTGCCTGGAACTAAAGAAAGTAGAAAAAACAGGACCACATGAAAAAAGGCTATCAGATTTCTTAGAACCTACAAGACCAAACTATAGAGCAATTCAGCTGTGAACATTCTCCAAGACAAGGGAAGAAGGATCCCTGAAGGCAATTCAGAGATCGTCAAGGCTGTCACTCTTACCACAGACCCAGATTGCACGGGCTTGGGGAGGGGGCTAGTCTTGATTCAAAGGGTGAGACCAACACCCTTGGGAACCGTGAGGGAGGGGTGGCTTAGCAGAGTTCTGGGGGTACAACCCCCACCTCCACAGAAAACTGCTGCATGAGCAAGGTCACAGCAGAGAGTCACACAGTGTGGGCAGTGCCTTGCCTAGCTGTGCGGGTGGTATTGCCACACCAATGGGTCCAGAAGGTAGAAGCTCCACCCTACTGTGTCGAGAAGGCAGGACTGCTACCCCAGTGGGTTTGGAGAGCAGAGTATCAAACAAAACAGAATTATTCTCAACCCTTAAGATCTCTTGGAGTTTGTGTTGCTAGTTCTTGAAATTTCTTGGGAACATTCGCCCTTCCTTCTTCGCTATTTCTCCCTTTTGCCATGGAAATGTCTTATCCTATGCCTGTCCCACCATTGCATTTTGGAAATACATGACATGTTAGGTTTCACATGTACACAGTTGGGAAGGAATTTTGCTTCAGGATAAATACTATCTTATGTCTCACCCCTATTTTGTTGATAGATGAAATTTTGGACTTTAGGCTTTAGAGTTGATGCTGGAAAGAGTTAAGATTTTTAGGGTTGTTGAGATGGAATAAATGTTTTCTGCATGCAAGAAAGACATAAATTTTGCCAGGGGCAGAATGTTATGGACTGAATGTTTGTGTTCCCTCAAAATTCATATGTTAAATCCTAACTCCCAATGTTATGGTATTAGGAGGGAGAATTTGGGTGGGAATTTAGGTGTGAAAGTCGATCATAAGATTTGGGTCATTCTTGTCCTACCCAAATAAAACAAAATTGAGAAGTGTAGGGGAACCAAGGAAACTTCTCCCTTTTCCCTCTGAGGGTTCACTGAAAAATCAACTCACAAAGGCTGAATAATTGAAAAAAAGGCATACAGATTTAATGTGATTAAATAAATCACATAATTTAGAGATTCATCTCTACATTTTTATTTTGACTTCTACATAGGTAATGAGGGTGTATTCCTCACGAATGGGATTAGAGCCTTTATAAAAGAGACTCCAGAGACCTCTCTAGCCTTCTTTATGTCACATAAGGATACAAAGAGAAGTCAAATCTGCAATCCAAAACCCTATCAGAACCCATCCTGCTCTTGGACTTTCAGTTGCCAGAACTGAGAAAAATAAATTCCTCTTGTTTATAAGCCACCCAATCTATGACACTTTATTATAGTAGCCAAAAAGAATGCCTTGTAGGAGAAGTGAAGATTTGAGTGCAGTCTTAGTATCTTTCGTGCTGCTATAACAGAATACCACAGACCAGGTGATTACAATGAACAGAACTTTATTAATTTTCTGGAGTTCTGGAGGCCGGGAAGTCCAATATCAAGGTGCTGACATCTGGTGAGGTTCTTCTTATTGTGTCATCATATGATGGAAGGTAAGATAGGGAGAGAGAGAACCCACACCTGAAAGCCCATTTTTAAAGTCAC